CCGCCGTCGCCATTGCCCCTGTCCCGCCGTGGCTGCAGCGCGCGGGCCGGCGATCTGTGGGCCCTGCACTGGGGCTGGAGTCCCCTCTGTCAGCCCCCCCACTGCGGCTGAGCACACGCAGCGAACGCACCGAGAACAGTGCCGGGAACCCGGCCGGGCCTCTGGGACTGGGTGCCCCTGCCTCCATCCCCGACAGCCCGTCCATGTCGCCCCATGCCCGAGCCCCGGGAGACCCCGTTCCCCCTGCCAGAGATGCTCGTGTGCCGAGAGCCTGACCTTTCCCCTCTCTCGTGACAGGCCGCTGGCTCTGCAGAGGGGCTGCGCTCGGCCACGTGCCGGGAACCCGGCCGGGCCTCTGGGACTGGGTGCCCCTGCCTCCATCCCCGACAGCCCGTCCATGTCGCCCCATGCCCGAGCCCCGGGAGACCCCGTTCCCCCTGCCAGAGATGCTCGTGTGCCGAGAGCCTGACCTTTCCCCTCTCTCGTGACAGGCCGCTGGCTCTGCAGAGGGGCTGCGCTCGGCCACGTGAGCAGGTGCTACGGCAGGGGGGAGGGGGAAGAGTGAGGGCAGCCGGCTTCAGCAATCCCCATCCCCCTCCGTTCCTCAGGGGAAAAATCTCCTTCGCCCGCGTCTCACGGCTCATTATTGGTGCCCGGTAGCATGCGGGGCCCTCGCTGTGGGTCTGGGCCCTGACAGATGCTGTGCACACGGGACGGGGGGAACCTGCTGTCCCAGGGCGATGGGAGAGATGACAGGTGGGCCCTACAGACGGGCAGGGAGAGACCCAGGTAAGAGCACAGGTAAATGGCCCCCACCCCAGTGCACAGAGAGTGGAAGGCCTCGCCCACACACAGCCCCGCTGAGCACGCTGCCCGACGTGTCACTGTCACAAGAACGGCCAGACGGGGTCAGACCAAAGGTCCATCCAGCCCGGTGTTCTGTCTGCCCACAGTGGCCAATGCCCCAGAGGGAGGGACCATAACAGGTAATCCTCACATGATCCCTCCCCGTCACCCATTCCCAGACAAACGGAGGCTGGGGACACCATTCCTACCCATCCTGGCAAAATAGCCATTGATGGACCCAACCTGCATGAATCCATCGAGCTCTTTTTTTTGAACCCTGTTAAAGTCCTGGACTTCACAACATCCTCTGGCGAGGAGTTCCACAGGTGGACTGTGCAGTCCCTGGGCAGGAGCAAGACACGAGGCCAGGCAGCGACTGGCTGGTCTGCAGCCTGACTGGCCTTGCTGCTTGGTGCTTGGAGGAGCCAAGCAGGCAGTGGTGTAGCTAGAGCCGCCTCTTGTCCGGCTGCTGGCCGGCTTTCCCGTATTCTGGAGAGTTCCCCTCAGAAAACCCCCTTGCCATGATTGAGGCTTGTCGGGTGGTGGGAAATCCTGGGTTTTCCCCAGGCTCCTGTTTCAATTCCCTCGCTCACAGGTCAGCCCAGGGCTACAGCCTCAGTCTGAGGCAAGTGACTTCCCCTCCAACAGCGCTCGGAGAGCCGCCTCTCCCCCGAGCCTCCAGAGAAGGCGTGTGGCCCAGCCGCGCAGCTATCTGTGGGTCACAGCCATGCTGCAAGGGCAGAGCAAGTGGGCCCCGCCGGTTCTGCTCTGTACTCCGTGGTGACTCAGATAGTGGCAGAACACAGACGCTGCCAAGCTTGGCGGCGGACACCACGCCGGGCGGGGTTACACGTGCATGGGAGGGTGGGGCTGTGTTTTAAAGTGGTCAGTAGGGTGAGGTCAGTAAAGGCGAGTACAAAGCGCTGCCCCTCAGGGAGGAACGGTCAGTCGCACACGTACAAATGGGACATGAGCACGTAGGAAAGAGCCCTGCACAAGGGGATCTAGGGGTCAGAGTGGCCCACAAGGTGAACATCAGCCCACAGTGGGACGCTGCTGCCAGAAAAGCAAACGTGATTCTGGGCTGCATGAACAGGAGCGTGGTGGGCCAGACACGAGGAGTCATTCCTCCCTCTGCTCCGCGCTGATCGGGCCTCAGCTGCAGGATTGGGTCCCGTTCTGGGCACCACACTTCAGGGAAGATGTGGAGAATTGGAGAGGGTCGAGAGAGCATGAGCTGTGGGGGAGACTGAAGGAACTGGGCCTGTTTAGTTTGGAAAAGAGACGACTGAGGGGGGACATGGGAGCGGTTTTCAAGTACCTAAAAGGGCGTCACAAGGAGGAGGGTGAAAACGTGCTCCCCTGGGCCTCTGAGGACAGGACAAGAAGCAAGGGGCTTAAACTGCAGCAAGGGAGGTTCAGGTTGGGCATTAGGGAAAACTTCCTGCCTGTCAGGGGGGTGAGACACTGGGATAAGTTGCCCGGGGAGGTTGTGGGATCCCCATCCCTGGAGATATTGAAGAGCAGGTTGGACCATCAGGGATGGTCTAGACAGTGCTGGGGACTGGACTCAATTAAATGACCTCGAGGCCCCTTCCAGCCCTGTGGTTTGTTCCATGCTGCTCTCTCCCTTCTCCATGGCCGGGTCCCGATGCCACTGTTGTGTGACCACAAGGGAGCGTGTTTGTAATGCGCGTGCTGGGCAGGCACTTCCAGCCTCTGTGGCGGCACCATGCAGAGGTGCGTGGGCAGGGTGCTCTCGGGGTGTGAAATCAGGCTTGCCCCTGAACTAGGGATGCAATCGTGTAGTCGATTAACTGGTTAACCGATAAGCAAAGGCTGTGGACGACACGCATTCCCTCTTCCCCGACACCAGCAGGGCGGCCGGTGGCCCGACTCACTCCTGTCTGCACCGGGTCCGGGACCCACCCCCGCTGCGACTCTGCATTTAAAGTGTGTTAGGAGCCGGCAGGCAGGCAGCCCAGCTCGTGGCAGGTCTGGGAGCTGGTTTTTAAATCGGCTCCCCTTGCAGACCAGCCCCTGCCTGGTACCCGGCGCTGCTGCCTCTGATTATAGTCCCGGGTGCTAGAGACCAGTCGCGTAACCGATAAGAACTCTTGGGGTGAATTGACTATTCAATTAACCGACATTTAACATCCCCCCGAACAATCGTGTTCTTTGCCGGGCAAGAGGGATCTGCCCTGCTCTGTCCCCCGCCCCAGCCCGTCGCCGGAGCTCCCAAATGTAGGCCCAGGACTCGGAGGACGAGGCTCGACTCCTGTGGGCCTGCTCCCCGGTGGCAGAGGACTAGCTAAGCAAGTTTCATTTCCTCTTTCCAAGGGGTGCAGCTTTCTCCACTGCTCCTGGCCCCGTCTGCCCCACACCCAGAAGTCGGAGGGCGGTTTGTGATGCAAACGAGGAGCCTCGCAGCCTCTCATTCCAGTCTGACTCCTTTGCCTTTCCCGCGGTGGTTGGCTTCCACTTGGGCTTCCTCCCCCCGCCGGGGCTCCTTCCTAGTTTCGAGTGGTCATGAAAGCTGGGGGAACTCCTGGGCGCTCGGTTTCTTTGAAAAGGAGCCCAAACGGCACATGCTCCGTTTCCACTGAAATGAAAGTGCTGCCTTTCTGTGTCTCAGGCAACTTCTCCATCGGCGCCGCAGTCGGCTCCTGCTGGGTGCGGGGGAAGCACGGCCCGGGTCAGTATCACAGTGAGCCCCAACTACACCATTCCTCACGCCCGGACTGGCGGGCGGCCTGGGCACGGACTCAGTTGGCTCCTGCTTGGAATGGGGATAAGAGACATCCGTGCATGCCTTGGCTTTCCTCGTCTGCCCGGGCTGCCGTCCAGGGAGAGGCCTTGGGGCTGACTTCAGTGCCCCATGCTGCACCCCCTTCCGGGCCACGTGGGGCGGAAAGCACGTCTCTGCCCCCGTCCGCAGCTGGGGGTTGCTCTGAGCTCCTCCGTGGCTGTTCCTGGATTGTCTCACGTTGGGGCTGCAGGTGGGCGCTTTCCACCATGGATCGCGCATGTACCATACACCAGGGCACCGCAGGCCTGGTGCAGAACACCGGGATGCCCAGAGGTGGAAGGTTCTGGCCGGCCAGCACTGTGTTGGGCGCCCGGGCGGATTGAGTGCAGGCTGGGCAGCAGGGAGGGGCTCTTGGAGGGCCAGAGGTGACCCGTGCGCCCTGGGGAGCGGCTTTGGGAAGGAAGAGCTGCTGGCTGGGGCGCTGGAGACGGGGTGGCGCAGGGTTTCCTGCTAAGCAGCAGGCCAGCTAAAGGGGCCACTGGGGGTGTGCTGTTCCCCTCCCGCACCATTTCCGGAGGGCAGGGGACTGACCCCCCCCACCCTGTGAGATTCAGGCGCCCAAGCTGGCTGCTGTTCCCCTTCCTGTGCGTTCCCCCCTCTCCTGGCGGGGGAGGGGAGGGGAGGGGGCAGAGTGAGCAGC